GAATTGCCTGGTTTTTTTGGCGTTTTTTTGGTCATTGTATCTTCTTTACATTTCGTCCTTGTCTTTATCTCCCCTCCTTTTTTGTGTTGGATACTCTCATGGTAACACCTCTAGTCTTCGGCACTTATATAACCTTATTGTGTGGCAAGTGCCGTAAAACTCTTACTGAAACTAAAACTAAATCTTTTCCTTTTTTTTTGTGTTTGCTGGTTTCATGTAACATTTCTAATCTTAGGCTCGTACATGATTATAAATATGACTTGATTGTATTGCAAATGTTGTAAAACTTTCACTAAAACAAAAGCAAATCTCTTTCTCTTTCTCTCTTTTTCTCTCTCTCTCTCTCCTTTTCTCTCTCCCTGTCTTTGCCTCTTGACTCTTAGTTTTGAAATTGTACTTTTGACAAATTGTCATATCTAAAATAACTTTTGTTGGTCTAACATAATCTCCACTAAGCTTTTGGGAATTTGGCCATAGTAACTCAAATCGGCCAAAAATGTCTGATAGAGTTTTGTAATTCTAAATAGGGAATTGTCTTAGAGAAGAGTGGTCGTTTAAGACAGTTGATTTTATGAACAGTGTCATTATAATATTAAACACACAAGGGGGTGGAAAGGGGTTGGTTATTTGTGTGAAAGTGATTGTCTTGATCTGGTTGCCGTTGGAGCACGTTCGACTGTTTTTTATAAGAAAGATACAAAAGAAGTGTCCTGTTATCTACGATAATGTTGTGTTGTAATGAACATAGATGTATATTGCTGTTGATTTCTTATCCTTGCACCTCATAATATACATGAATATCATATAGATACATGAAGTTTAAAATCTGTGATATATTCCTGCATGCGCTTTGAGATGTGCATCTCATGTGATGTGTTGTAGTGTTGTCCTCTTTTATTGTTCTCTTCATATTGAAATTATTTTATGAATGTAGAATACAATTTGAATTCTATGTATATCTAACTGATTTTACCATTCCTATAAAGCCACAGAAAATTTCCCACAGAGACGATAAAAGTATTATGAGTGGATGGTTATCGGGTGCTCTGGTGGGGTCTGCTCCTTCTTTCCTATCAAACATCTGTTGTCCTTATCTCCCCTCCTTCTTTTCTTCGTATGTTGCTCTCATGAAACACTTATGTATGACTTATTTGTGTTTCAAGTGCGGTAAAACTTTGCTAAAACGAGACTAAAATCTCTCTTCCGTCCTGTCTTTGAATGTTACTCTCAAGTAACTCCTCTAGTCTTGGGCAGGTATGACATATTTGTTTTGCCAGTGACAAAAACTTTGACTACGGACTAAACTTAAAATCACTTTTTCCTTTCATTTTTTTTCTTTGTATATTACTCTCTTGTATAACCAGAAATCTTCTATACATGTGTATGATCTGCCACACAGGTGCTGTAAAACCTTTAGTAAAACTTTAAAAAGCGTTATCTCATCTTATTTCATTTTGTGTTTGTTTGTTTTCCTCTGTCTGTCTTGAAGGACGCCCAGCAGAAACTGATGATCCAGAACTCGCAGCTCCAGCAACAGATCCAGACCCAGCAAAACGCAGCCGCGCAGCAGAACGCAGCAGCACTGCAGAATGCAGCAACGCAGCAGAACGCAGCAGCGGGCAACCCGCAGCTCTTGCAGCAGCAGAACTTTCTCCCGCAGGCCAACGCCGTCCTAGGTCGCGCGCAGCTGGGCAGCCACTTTGTGAACAACATGCAGGTGAGGGGGTTGTCTTTTTTTGTTTGTTTGTTTGTTTGTTTGTTTGTTTGTTTGTTGTGCTGCTCAACCTGGGGTTGTTGGTTTTTTCTTTAATAAATGAACCAAAAAAAAATAATTTTCTTACAGTGGGATGGTTGGAAGGCGCCCCCCCCCCCCCCCTAATATAATGTAGAGGGTCCAAACACCTTACTTACAATTAGAGTTAGATTGCTCTCTGAACTTTCCAAAGTAAGAATTTTTCATTTATTATTCTTTATCATGGAGATTGTAAAGCACTTTGAGCCTGTTGTTGAGGGAGAGATGTATGTTATACAAATGGTGTTTATTAGTAATAAGTCCTGGGGTTGTTTTTTTTGTTGTTTTTTTTGGGGGGAGGGGGTGAGTTCTTGGTTGTATCTTTTCTCTGTGCTAAATGACCGTCTTTGTGCCAATGTGATTCTATAGGTTAGTAGAGGTTTTACGGCGCTCGCAACTGCTAAAGGTCATATGAGCGCCAGAAGATTAGAGGTGTTACATACAAGAGCGTAACAAACATAAAAAAGAAGAAGGGGAGATAAGGACAATAGATGTTTCATAGGAAGGAAGGAGCAAACCACACCAGAGCTTGAATTTGAGTGTATTGAATTCCGAAAAGTGTATGTGAAGGGTTTTTAGTTTTAGTAGAGGTTTTATGGCACTCGCAACTGCATAAGGTCATATGAGCGCCCCGTGAAGGGTTTGGAAGGGGTTGCTTGATCGATGCCCATCATCTTGACCTACCATATGGATAGAGTCTGTTTTTTTGTTTTGTTTTTTTAAGTTGGTAGAGTGGGTGGTTGGCGGGTGCTCTGGTGTGGTTTGCTTCTTCTTTCCTATCAAACATTTGTTTTCCTTATCTCCCCTTCTTCTTTTTTATGTTTGTTACTCTCTTGTGACACCTCTAATCTTCTGGCCCTCATGACCTTATGCAGTTGCGAGCACCGTAAAACCTCTACTAAAACTAAACTCTCTTGTAACACCTCTTATCTTCTGGCAGTCATATGACCTTATGCAGTTGCGAGTACCGTAAAACCTCTACTAAAACTAAAGTTGGCAGCTATGTGTTTTACATATGGTGTGTTGTGTCATTGACGTGTATATATTCATTTTCAGATCCCTCAGGTCAAAGTTAACCAAGGACTGGGCCAAGGTTTGACAGACGGGAGTGACAACCAGGCAGCTCAGACACAGTTTGGCGGCCACCCAGACTTGAACCCTGCCAATCTGGACGGGAATAACGATGCCCTGGCCCGAGGTATGTCTAACCATCAATGATTTATTTATAGAGGCACCAGCCATCCATGTCCAGGTGCTGTTGTAGCCCCCGAGGTATGTCCTGCGGTTGATGGATGCGTTTGTTTTGGTGTGGTGTCCTCCTTCTTTCCTATCAAACGTCTGTCGTTCTTATCTTTCCCCCTTCTTGTCTTTGTATGTTACACTCTCTCGTAACAGCTCTAATCTTCAGTACTTAACATATGACCTATTTGTGTTACAGATGCCGGTCTTTGGGTGTTGATGGAGAAACTCATAGTATGTCTCCTAGCAATGAATTAACTAGTCTAAGCCGGGAGGGAGATAGTGTTCCAATTAGGGGGGGGGAGGAGATAAGTACCCTAATTGAGGTGGGGGGGGGGGAGGGGGGAGAAGATAAGTGCTCCAATTGAGATGGGGGGGGGGGGGAGGAGGGAGGGGGGGAATGGTTGAATAGAATAGACTGCTTGAGCCTCAAAGACCCTGATTGCTTTATATATTATTTCTCCTCTGTAATACAATCGAGCGTGTTCTTATAGCCCCCTGTATAAGACAGTTATCTGTACAAACAGCTGCTTCCCATTTTCCCCTTTGCATTAAAAAAAAAACGTTTTACTGACACCATTAAGACATTCAACTGTTAACCTTATCCGTACATCATGTTTTACTATCGTATCCATACGACTTGGAGAAACTCTTTGCCACCACTTTCCAAAGAGGAAATTTACTTGTTAATCCGATCCGTACTCTTTGCACAGCAGTCGGTCAAAATGATTTTTTGAGAAATACTGAAAGTTTCAAAGAGACTTTGTCCTAAAAGTATTCTAAAATGTGAAGAATACATCCCCGGGGGTACAAAATGACCCCAGGGCGCACGGACGGGGTTATGACGTCCACCTGTTATAGACTACCACTTTTATCCTTGACAGTGGGTGATTGTCTTAGACAATTTTGACCGTAGTATGTTCCAACTGACGCATAGTCACTGATGTGTGCAACATTTTTACACTGCACTCATTTCTTGTAGCGTTTGATGCTGCTCTTGCTGCGACAATTCATGTTTACTTTGCCTCTGCTAACAATTGGTAGAGAACTGAAGTGAATAACTTTGAATCTCTGTACAAGACAAACATTCTAAAAAAGGGTGGGGTTGATGTTAAGTGACCATTGACGTGGGAATTTCAATTATCGACCTGCTGGAAACGACTTGTTTCCAAGAATGCAAGAATAGACAGGCTGAGAAATTTATTCGTACCCAGGGATGCCACTTTTCCGCTTTTTTTTCGGTATTTCCGTTATTTTGATACTGATCTGCTATTCCGTTATTGAGATCGAGATAGAATCTAGAGGTGGAAAAAAACACCCTTTGGTTTTCAAAATGATATTCATATGTTTTGCGAGACCGTGGCGCGTGGATTTTCACCTTTTTTCCCCAAAAGTTGAGTGTCATCCCTGCGTACCAATTGCAGTGAGGTAATTGAACATACAGTGCTGCAAATGAAACACAAAGAGAGAGAGAGAGAGAATATTTACAGAACGGGGGTGTCTCAGCGTGTAACACATGTATCTATGTCCTGTCTTGTCGTGTGTATGGGTGAGTGCACCTGACCTTTGTAACATCACTGACATTGTAAACTACGGGTTGGCAGGTGCTCTGGTGTGGTTTGCTCATTCTTTCCTATCAAACATCTGTCGTCCTTATCTCCCCTCCTTTTTTTGTGCATGTTACTCTCTTATAACACATAATCTATTCTTCGGCACGTATATGACCTTATTGTGTTGCAAGTGCCGTAAAACTCTTACTGAAAGAGAACAACCAAGACAAATTTCTCTTCATAGGATGAATAAAGAGTTTGTTTGTCTTTGTCAAGCCATCCCTGATCCTGATGTACATGTTGCAATTTTTCCAACAGAAATTGAGAAGGCCGTACCCCACCTAGAAGATCTCAATGCTGCTCATCAAATGAAACCACCCAACAATGACGCCAACGTCGACAACAACAACAACGATGCTGCCAAGGATGAGGATGGCGCTGGAGATGGAAAAGTGAGTTGACATGAGGGTGCCTAGCTGCCAACCAGTACGTAAAAAGTGTATTTAATATGGTCTTGAGGATCTGAATATGGAAGTTTTGTTGTTTTCCTATTGGACAGTATGTATGCTCTGTTTTCTGATATCGCCTCACACTAAATCGCCGATGTTGAAGAAAGATAATGGACTTACAAGACAGGATTTGCGTGATGTTAAGAATGATCTAAGTCAATTGAAGAGATCTTTTGCTGTAGGTGTACTAAGAGTATCTCTTATTTATTGAATGCAGAAAAATGTGTATGAAGGATTTGAACGGGGGTTATTTGGCCAGTACCCAGCATCATGAACTGTCTGTTGGTAGAGTTCGGTAATTTTTTATTTTTTTATTTGAAAAGTTGGCGTCTACGAGTGTGCTATTTATGGTTGGCTGTGTAGTATTCGTTGAGGTACTGGACTGATGTGTTTAACTTTAGGTACACGGCTGTGATTGTTGACAAGACTGGGCTGCTCAACTCACAAGGGTTCCTGAGTCTTCTCCCCACATTTTTCACAAGACAGATGTTTTATCTTCTGTCATCCTATTGGGTTTTTGTGTTCTTCTCTGCACAGACTCGACTGGCGCAGGTCAAATCGAATGTGCTCGTCTTGTAAATGATCGAAGTTGTGTTCCTTGGGGTCTTCAAATGTTTCCTGTCACTGCACTCGCAAAGAGGGTGGGTGGTTGGCGTAAATGATTGAAATTGTGTTGTGTGTTGATGGAATCTTAGAACAATTCCTGTCACTGCAATCACAAGGGGGGGAACTTGCCCGTATTTCAGGACGACCGAGGCGTGAACCCCAACGACGAGCAGAAAGACCAGATCCAGGAGCCCAACCTGGACGCGGCGGTGGACCGTCAGGAGGGCGGCGGCGAGGAGGCTGGGGAGGCGCACATGGACGTGAGAAACATGGAGGAGGTGCGAGCTGCCGACGTGCGGCAGGAGGAGGAGGACGGAGCCTTCCAGAAGCCGCAGAACCCGCTGGCGCTGGGCCAGATGGAGGAGCCGCAGCTCCCACACGTGGACAACAACGATGACGACGAACAGCCGGCCGACGGGAACCTGGACCAGCAGGGACCACCGATGCTACGCGATAATGTACGACGTGAATATATAGGATAAAGGAAGATAGATGAATAAATAAATTGAATGATTTAATTGTAAAATAAGTTGATAAATGAATAAATCCTTAAATTAATAAAAATAAAATAGATAAATAAATAAATTAGTTGATTAGATAGTTAAGCTGATAAATGAATAAAAACATAATTAAATAGATTTTTTTTTAAATATTAAAATTAATCGAATATGTTGATACATGAATATATTACATGAAATAATAAAACATAAATAAAACTTAAAAGATGAACAATTAGTTATAATAAATAATGAAACATAATTAAGAGATAAAATGAATGAATCGATGAATATAAAGATTAATTACAGTTTATTTATCCCGATTGAGATGCAATGGCAAACATGCATATGTATCACGACGTGGTGGAATCATACGCTCGTCAATTTGTGGGCGTATGGGGTTATTGGTATCACCTTAAAGCCTGTTCAGTTGCCTTCCTTTTGGTGGAAAAAATATTGATCTATGTTGAATAAAAGTCGAGATGTCTGCGATTGAAGGAGGTCAGGGTCACCTGGTTTTGAGAAAATGGCCGTGGAAGTTTGGGAACTTCCATAGCCTAAGAGTCCTTGGAAACTGAAAATTTACTTTTTCGTGCCTTTCTTCCATGTTTTTCAGTAAAAGCCCGGAAAAGAAATTAGAAAAAAATTGCCCTTCGGCCAAAAATATGTCGATTTCTTAGATTTCATTGTTTTGACGAGCGCCGGATTTCAACAAGATTCCTCACATATATAAATTGATTTTGATTTTTTTCTGTTTTTCTTCAACAGAATGATGAGAACAATGCGCAAGGTAAGAGCTTTTAATTCTTTCCCCCCCCCCGTCCCTTTTTCCTGCATGCCTGGCTGTTTTCTATCCAATTTTAGGTTTTCTTACTTCGGAATGCCGCATTTATTCCTGTCTTTTTGCAGTCGTCGGAGTGTAATCATACAGAAATCTTCTGTGAATCAATAGCTGAAAGGCTTGATAAGGTACAGGCGTCTAATGTTTGACGAGGGATTGGAGTAGTGAGGATGGATGGTGTATACCTCGTAATACATACGTGTGGAGGGTTTTGCTTGCTACTGACGGGTGTGTGAGCCGACCTGGATCATTATATTCTGGACAGCGGCCATATAGAAGCCACAAGTTGTCTTAACATTTGGTATTGATTCTTCCGTTTGATTGAAGAAATATTCTCCTTTATGGGTGCAGTGGTCGTCCTCAGACATTGGCTATTGACGGACGAACTACCGCCATTATTATTTCTATTATTAGAGGTTTTCATATCTGGCTGACCCAGGTATTGAAAACTAGGTCTAACTGCCTTCCTCAGCCTATTACTATTATTACTATTAATGGTTTTTAAAAATTATTATTATTATTTTTGGCGTTGTGTTTATTAATATTATCATCTTCATTATCATATAGCCTGTTTCTCCTATTTAAAAGACACTTTTGTTTGACGTTCCTCTGTGGAGTACCGTCCTTGTTTTGTCTATTTTTTCATAATCGCCCGATATGTTGCAGATTTTTATATATCCCCCCCCATATCGATAAGGGGTCTAAACGGAGAGTTTCAGATTAGACAGATTTTTTTCTAGATTCTGTGTAGGAGTGGACCAGTTCCAACATTGTGTTTGTAAATAATGATAAGACTTTTCTTTTACCGTTCAGCAGTCCTTCCCTAGAGTGGTGCTTCTGTATTTTGAATTTATTGCTTGTCATATCTTTTGCTCGCAACAAAAAATGTTTTTTATTATTTTTTTTAATAACCAGTTTCAATAGGAAACTTTTAAAGTTTTTTCGTCTCTACCTCAAGTAAAACTGAGTATAAACTGAGTATCTCCAATGGTTTACACTCGCCCTCTAAAGCAAAATGAATCAAAAAGTCACTCGGCTTTCTAGCGAGAGCAAAGGTGTATGTGGGGGAAAATATTTGGGGAAAGGTCAATAGTTGTGCTGAAGGTCACTAGTCTTTGGTGCTTTGTTACTTTGTTTCCCCTGTCACGGCGTAGTTCTATCCGGTGCTTTCTTTAGCTTTGACTTTTTTGGGGGACATCTATAGTGTTTGAAAATGATTCCGGTTTGTTTCCATTCGCTCTATCAAGAGGTTTCAGCATTTTTTTGGCTTTTTGGGTTTTTTTATGTTTTACGTACGTAGGAGTGAAAGTTCCAGGTTTTTGGGGTTTTTTTCAAGATTGTTTGTTATTGCAATTTTTCCCCTGCACACTCGCTAGACGACCAGTACGTGGATGATGGGGATGATACTGATAATGAATTGCAAAGACGGGAAGAAGACGATCGCCGTGAGGAGGAAGATGAAGATGCGAATTTAGAGGATAGTATGGAGAGGCGAGCTCTGCACGAGGAGCAGCAGGGCGTCCAGTGGCCGGACGAACCGCCGCAGGAACAGCTCCAGCGACAGCAGCTCTTCCCGCAAGATCACGGCTTCGGGGACAGGCAGGACGATTTTGCCGGGGCTCAGGACGGGCCGCGCGTGTAGCGGACAGACGTCGCCGGGGCCAGGAGAGTGGCCGTCGTCCTTCACGCAGGTGCTGCTGTGCACTAGATAGCATCGTACCATAACCCTGCATACCTCTCTTCTCTCTCTCTCTCCTCTCCCCCCCCTGGAGATTTTCAGTTGCTTGCTTCTAACACTTTGATTTGGACCGTTGTCCTTTCTGTTGTTTTTTTTTTGGTTTTGTTTTGTTGCCATTTCTGTTAGTACTCACTGGCCCAGACTCAATGACTGCCAGAAAACAATAAATAACCTCTCCAATTTTGCGTGGATCTGCACTTAATAGTAGAGAAATTATGTTTGATTATCCAGACACTATAATCTATGTACAATGTAAATGAATTGGTCAGAGGGGCACTGCTGCTTCAGTTTTATCGTGGAGTAACCTAGAAAAGGTCCTTTACTTTAGAAAATACGACGATGGTATCGTGGAGTAACCTAGAAAAGCTCCTTGACTTTAGAAAATATGACGATGGTATCTTGGAGTAACCTAGAAAAGGTCCTTTACTTTAGAAAATACGATGAATTCAAGTTCACAAAAAAGCTTCAAGTCTGTTTTTGTGAGGAGTATTGAGTAAATTCCCTATCTCGAGCTAGTGCACCCGACCGTCTGAAAGTATGATGATTCCGTGATGGTATGAACAAATTGAATAGAAGGATGTCTGTCAGAAAGCCATTTAAAGAAGGAAATAAGCTTTAAAGAGAACTGGTGCTGATGAGGAAAGGAAGTTGATGAGGAAAATGTGAATCCAGTTTTTGTGTCGGTCTTGACATGGCCATAGGAGTTTATTGAAGGATGTAGTGCTGAACTAGGCTTGTCAAAGTCTTCGACTTACAGAATTTTAAACGAAGCCAAGTCACTTTTTATTCTATCAAGGAATAACTGCGGACAAAATTTTTGGGGTAAAAAGGGGAAAAAAATTAGATAGAGAGAGTGAGAATTTGCTACGGTCCGTTTGTTGATGTAGCGATGAGGCTCATTTCTGTGTGGCTGGAAAAGTAAAGTCGGTCAGTTGTGTGCCCTGAGTAACAGAAAGAGCAGATGATGTGAATAAGAGAAACTCAGAGACTTGCACGATATGTATATATATATATATATATATATATATATATATATATATATATATATATATATATATATATATATATATATATAAAAAGCAACTTCATGGGTAGCTTTAAGCTCTTCTGGCATCATAAGGCTATTTTGATTCTGTGGGGAAGAAGGAGCCACACAAACTATCTCTGCGGAATCGTTATTTTCGAATGTGTTCTGTCAGTTCTGGTGATCCGTGGGGCAATCTTGTGAGAATGAGGCAAGAGGTGAGCTGTGGCTGATGCAGGATGGGACGGCCCCTCCCAGCACACTGCAGCGAGTGTCTTATCCTGGCTGAGGGGACCTTTTGGGAATCGTGTTCTAGGCGGAACACTTGGCATATCATATGCATGTACTACTCAAAGAAAAAAAAAGGAAAAGGACTAATTTGTCTTTTGATTTTCGAGCACTATAGATAGCAGGACACACATGGGCACCATGCAATCCAGTTTTGAACGCATTTTAGTTGCTCATATGACCTCATGCAGTTGCGAGCATTGTAAAACCTTACGAAAACTTACAAAAACCCATTTGGCTTTTTGTTATCTCAAAGACCAAATCCAAATTGAAAAATTCCAAACCCATCAGGAGCTGAGAAATGGAGTGGAGGAGCTTGTGAGAGCTACAGTGCCACTGCAGAGTGAAGACGCTACGCAACATTTTGTGATCAGAATACGGAAATACATTACTCCTAGTAGCAGCCATGTGGGCCATCTTTTCTAATTCTAACAGTTCAAATGGGAATTCCTTTTCCATGTAGTAAATTAGGCAACTGTCTCTCCCGATGGTCTCTTTATCCTTCTTCCAAAGAATTTTGCTGTATGTTGAGGGTTGTTTTTAAAAAAATGTTCTTAGGCGGTCATTGAGTTTAGGATATCCTGTACACTCTCCCTCCCTCTCTCCTTCCTTTCCTCTCTCTCTCTATCTCTCCTTCTCTTTCTCTCCCGGAATTTTGGGTGACAGTTGCAAGCCAGTGGGATCAGATTTGTTATGTTTCAGTCCGTCAGTCGTCGCAGGGCGTGGTGTTTATGGCGCTGGAAATATGTACAGATTAAGAATGTTGGGGCTAAGAAAGGCGAAGAGACTTGATTTATCGAGGATTTTCATAGGGAAAGTGTAAATGTTCTGTTTGCAGTTTTACAGTCTTCGCATTTTAAGGATGGTATTCCTTTTGCATGTTGCATGAAAACGTCATTATAAGTTCAAATGGAACCAATTCCATCATGAAGAAATATCAGAAACATAGAGAATTCCTCCAAGAATTTAAAAAAAAAGGCATCAGGCTGTGTCATTTCAGGAAGAAATGGGAAACTGTATAGAAATGATGAATGTAGTATGAATTAGGCGGGCCTTTGGACTATCTTTTGCATAGGAGTGTGCAGTACATACTCGTAAAGACCTTGTTGTACAGGATCCTTGTCTTAGTTCCTACGTTTGAACGCATGCCTGCATGATGGTTTTGTTCTCAAGGCAGGGACTGTCTTTTGGGATTATGGGTATTTTTTTTATCTTTCTGGACAGTTGGGCCATGTTTTTTTCCTCCATTCATTCATGTTATAGCGGTTATACAACCACACTTCTCTTTTCCAAGGTTTTTATTTACATGCTCAGAGTCAGTGAAGCCAGAATTAAGAGAGCAACATTTACAACCAAAAGAAAATTTTACAAATGGGCCCTATAAAAAGTTGTGCAAGATGTTCTTTTACAGAAGTGATTAAGCAGAGTCCAATAAAATTTGGTTCTTCAAGCGATGTCGACTGTTTTCTCAAAACATCACTTAATGAAAATGGTTGGCGGGTGCTCTTGTCTGGTTTGCTTCTTCTTTCGTATCAAAGATCTATCATCCTTATCTCTTCTTCTTCTTTTCTTTATATGTTATTCTTTAGTATTATCTCTTTTCTTTAGTATTATCTCCTCTAACCTTCGCCACTTTACATGACTAATTTGTGTTGCAAGAGCTGTAAAACTCTTATTAAATGTAAAACTATACGGAGGGTCTATAAATAACTGTAGCAGATAGATGAAGAGATTGCGACTGGTACAGCCTACATGTCTTTTGCTTCTTCCGTCACGGTCAGTTGTCTTGCCCTTTCCCTTCACTGTGAGACCACCGTTGTTTTGATGTGCATTTCTTTAGCTCGGAATGACGTACTTTTTTTCACTAGTTGTTACTAACTCGTTTGTTCCTTTTCTTAA